CCTCATTTTGGCTACCTTGCTGTATATGTTTCTATGTATTAGGTAGAGCTGCTATGTCTTCCAGTCTTAGTAGAGTGACCTCATATAGTAGGTGTCCTACAGGGCCCAGTGGCACAGCCTCCTCAGTCACCTGAGTTGGGTGCTTCAAGTAGGCATCCTGTGCAAGCTGTGTACACACTCCTGTTGTAGTTGACCTTGACTGCTGTTGGCACCTCAATAAGAGGGATATACCCCGAGGCTGATCAGCTGCAAGAACTCGCTAAGACTGCAACAGAGGAGCTGCCATGCAGAGACTGATTCAATGGAGCAGAACTTGCTTTTTAGCAGGGATCTGGTGCCAAATGAGTCTCTCTTGAGTGTGTCATTCATGAAGGTGCTTGGGTGGTGCGCTTCAGCCTGAAGCAGTCCACCAGGTGTGCTAGCTCTAGGGCTACCCAGATATTGCAGGCCAAAGTCAGCTGCCACCTGTGTCCTGCCTAGCTTAGCTACAGAGCAATCTTCAGATGGCTCCTATTTTTGCTGGCTTGGAGGTGGCCAGGAGAGGCCAAGCTGTGAATTAAGGCTGGCTTCGACTAGTGTCAGGCATGGGGTTACTTAGAAGCATAGGGCACCTGGAGACCAAATGCTGCTTGTTTGGGGTTCATGGACCTTTGAGAGATTTCAGGAAAGTCTACAGCATGAGCCAAGACAGGTTGTTTGTATGAGAAAACCACTGGAAATAGCTTGAATGAGCCCTAAAGTTGGGTGGGGTGAGATATCAGGGAATCACCTGCTCAGGGAAAAGGGTGTTAGGCTAATGGAGACTCAGATATGGTGCCAGCCTGCAGGCTCTGTGGGGGGAATGCTCACCTAAGAAACAATGGCCTCCGACAGTACTTCTGTAGGAGAAAGCTGGCCTTCCAGCCTTCAACCTGAAGCCAGACAATTCAGTTTCTCCTCCTACATCCCTGCTGCCTTTTGGGCTGCTGCCCAATGGCTAAAGTTCAGAGTGAGCCCGAGTACGTCTGTGCGTGGGTCATTTGAGAGGCATGCCCGAGACTATAGAAGTGCTCCATCTCACTTAGCCACAATCCCTGCTGGTTTATGCAATCAGAAGTTATGGGGACTTCTCTTCCTGGCACTGAAACCCTGGGGCTGGGACCAACAGCCAAGATATCCCTCCTGGTTTTTAATCACCAACCATGAATGTGGGACCAGCCCATTTTGCTTCTCTTCCACTCCTACCAATCTCAACATTGCTTCTGTATATTCTTAGTTATAGGACTTTGGTTCAGCAAGATTTCAGGTGGTTATGAATGATGGTTGTTCTGTAGTTTAGTTGCAATTTTGATGTGGTTGTCAGAGGATGCAAATACCACATTTACCGTCTTGACCAAATTAAATTAGATTTAATGCATAAAAGTAATTTCACCCAAGTTGCACTGACACGTATCACAATTTGATGATGGAAATATGTCCAGAGCTGCCTAGGAATCGAGAATATTTTTGAGTGAATGCCTGTGAATTTCTTATCATAATAAATATGTTGTGATAACCATATTCTCTCAGTAATCTGCTTGCACAATTCTGTCACATTGGCTTCCTCTGTTTACCCTTAATTGAGTCTCACAGAGCCAGTTTCAACAGCCAGTTTGTTTTCTATGCTGGGAGCCTTAGATATTAAAGACAATGTTGAATCTGGCTGCTAAGCCAAATGAAGAAAAACAAGTACATAGTTAATGATGAGAGGCCGTAGCTAATATGATTTAAAATTACATCAACATTGCAGAGAGACTAGCTCCTCATGATGACATTTCCTTTTTTCTTAAGCTTTCATGGTCAACAGCAAATGGTACAGTACTGTTTCAATCAGTACTGAAACCAATCAAACATTATACCACAGTTATCCTGATTTAGTGGGATATATAGGCCATTTTGAAAGTAAGGCTACCTTTTACCAAGAATAGTGTTATAGAAACTTCAAGAATCCCTGTTCATTTCATAAAACTTAAAAATTACTAAGATGTCACACACAAAGGAAATAAGGAATGCCCAGAAAAAAAACAACAACACTGTAAGTAGTGAGGCATTGGGATAATTTTTTTAAAAGAATAGAGGTCTTATTATAATGTCTACATTTTCTCCCCTTTTTTTCTCCCTGTAAGCAACAACACCAAATAGAGTTCTGCAATCAGATGCCTTGAAAAGCTACACTCATTTTAACCACCTCAGTAGTTATGTAAATTCTCTAAGACTTACAGTTTTCAACACTTTACTTAAAACCGAATGGCTTCAGCGAGGCAGCGTTTTCTCTGTGACAAGGGTGAGCCACTGCCAATGTTAATTTTCCTCTCCATGCCTTTTCAGCATATACATTTCAGCTGCTATGCCATTGATTCTTTTCCTCGTCAATACTCTGTTCCTTTTGCAAATAAACTTTGCCCTTCAAATGTGCTGCCGGTTGCAGACCTCTAGCCCAGGGCTCAGATTAGCTTGGGAGCACCTCTCCCCTCACTCTCACCCAGGAAAGGATTTATGATTCCTTTTGCTGAGATATTTTTAAACTTGAGAAGTTTAAGAATAAGTCAGTCCTCCACACCCACTCCATTCTACTACTCCTTAATTTTGTTTGTAAGTTTGATCCTCGGCGCTGCTGGCTCTTGGGTGGATTCCATACAGTGCTTTCCCTAAGTGTAAGTAAGTGAGAAGATTCTAGTTGGTTCTCCTGCTTTCTGCTGTGAACTCCCTTCAGATTTGCCCCTGAGGTGGCCCAGGAAGAATCCTCGACCTTAAAGCTTCTGATAACCTGTGTCTCCTGAGAAGGTGCAAAGAAACTCAGCAGACTCAAGACTGGTTACTAGAGTCACCGTTCTGTTGAGAACCTAAATACAACCATTACAGGTATAGTTATGCAGCAAGTGTAATCTGAGGTAGTAGAAGGATCACACGCTTTGGGGCTATCATTCAAATTTACCATATGCATGACTTTAAGAAAGTCATGTAATTTCCCTGATTCTCAATTTCCTTTTCTGTATATTAGATCTATTAAGAGAATCGAGTGAAATAATCTGCATAAAGGGCTTAATGCTGAACCTGGAACAGATTAGGTGCAATAAATATTAAACCATAGCATGTTCATTCTGGGGTCTGTGTACACAAGGCCAAAAAATAATGTCAATAAAGATGTTTGTGTATCATCTATTCTTTCATACTTAGGTAAGTGCTTTTGTTCACAAGGAACATTAGGCTGGTGGATAAATTATTTCACAAACCAGAGAATAAAAGGAGCTTGATAAATAGGCCTCTCTCCCAGTTTCTATTCATATATGCTTATGTTAATTACTAGGAGTAGCATGTGATAGAGAACATGACTAGAAAAAATGTTTAATTTCACCACAATCTTAGTTATAATGTAACACTTGTTTGAAGTATTTTTTATTTCAATCCAATAATGATTTATTGAGAAAGTTATATTCTTATATGATACGACAAGAGTGAATTATACTTTTATAAACTAATTCAAATATATAGAATATAGTCATTGAAGCAATCAAATTCTCCATTTTCTAGTAGGGATATAAATTAAATAGTCTGAAAATTATCAATACATAAATGTTTTAACAAAATAATTTTTAAAAATTAAGTCAATAGAACCAGGCACTATGTATAAAATTGTTTCCCAAAGCTATGAGTGCTCTTATTGAGAAAAATTACCTCAAAGATATCTTAAAAGATAATGAATTCTTCAGTTATCTTATTCACATTTCTGAACAAATTATTTTCATCTCCAAACTGTTGATGGTTTGTATAGGAATACATAGATCGTTAGGTAGGTAGATAGACAGATAGGTAGGTGGTTAGGTAGGTAGATAGGTAGATAGATAAATTTCAAAAGGCAGAAAAACTTTTCCAACAGATTATTTAGAGTAGCACAAAACCTTCTCAACATAAATGTGGTCATCTCTGTCAAGATAAGTTTTTCAATGTATTTTTCAATCTGGTGTGATGGCACTACAGATTCTTAAAACAATGCAATTGGTATGGCATCTCTTTGGGACACTGCTAATTCTGCAAAGCATAACGCCAATATGAACACAAGTGCACCCAGATGGTAGTTCACATCCCAAAGCAAATTTGTGCATAACTTTCCCTTCAAGACTAAATAAGTTTTCAATTTTCCATTGCCTTGTATGGGTTATAACCGAGGATTCAAAATGAGGTTCAGATGCCCTGGCCGGGTGGAGTTTTCAATTTTCCATTGCCTTGTATGGGTTATAACCAAGGATTCAAAATGAGTTTCAGATGCCCTGGCCGGGTGACTCATTGGTTGTTTTCAATTTTCCATTGCCTTGTATGGGTTATAACCAAGGATTCAAAATGAGTTTCAGATGCCCTGGCCGGGTGACTCATTGGTTGGAGCATCACACACACACACACCACACACACAAGGTTCAGATGCCCTGGCCGGGTGGTTCATTGGTTGGAGCAACACACACACACACACACACACAAGGTTGTGGTTTTCCACATACCCAGGTTGCATGTTTGATCCCCAGTCGGGGCACCCACAGGAGGCAACTAATAAGTCTCTCTCTCTCTCTCTTTCTCATTCTCTCTCTCTCTCTCCTCAGTTGGGGCACCCACAGGAGGCAAATAATAGATCTCTCTCTCTCTCTCACCCCCTTCCTCTCTCTCTCTAAAAAACCAATGAATATATCCTCAGATGAGGATAAAAAAATGAGGCTCTAGTGATCAAAGTCACATATGACAGCAGCTCAGGAACGTCCCAGATAGCACAAAGCCTGGCATTTTTAGGCACAGTGCTCTCTTCACATTGATAACGGTGTAGGAGACTAAGAAAACAAGAATACTTCACTGCCAAATTTTTACATTTTGTTATTTTTTGTTGAAACAATGCAGCATGAAGATACCAAAAAATTACAAACAGTCATATATGTCACTGGCTGAATTAGACCTAATAATTATTTTATCCATAATAAGCGTAGAAATGCCATCCTTACCCCTAAATATAATAAGATTCCATAGAACATAAATTTCCAGAAAAAGCATCGCCGGAGGGCATTAATGAGTTTGGGATTTTTCTTTGATGCCAGCTCTCTGTCCCATTCTCTGCAAAGGAATAAAATTGGGACCAATAAGGTGATTGTACAAATATTTGAGTTGTTTTATTTTCCTTAATATAGTTTTACTCACAAGGACATCCAAGAAGATTAACCAAGTGATTAAAGAGATAAAAATTTTGGAGACCTTCAAACACCAACGCTCAGTCAGGTATTTGGCAGAATTCAATGCTCTACCCTATATCAATTTTATTTGTTAAAGAAAGGTTCTGGGCTTTTTAAAACCAACACAAAATGTAGACAATAAAGTATGACTTGTGAATAGACATTGCTATGATTGGAACAAGGAAAAAGATAAACAAGTATTTGGTTTTTTCTTCTTCACCTCTTGATTTTTACCTGTTTAGAATTGTAGTACATTTTATATAATTTAACCATCAAATAAAAAACAAGATAAGAAAGTCAAATGTATTTTTCTGTGGTTTAACATTAGAAAAACTTGTTAGTCTCTGTTTTTTAAATGTAGGGACATGACACAAGTATCATCAAACTTAATTGTCAACTACCTAAAGTCATTCTAAAGTAAGATATTACAAGATCAGAACAGAATCAAATTCTATATTTTCTAGTAGGAATATAAGTTAAATGGTCTGAAAATTATTGATACATAAATGCTTTTGTTTTCTTTTAAGTGCTATAGGTTCATCAGCTGACTATAATTATTTTAAGTTATGCCACTACTTTCTATTAGTAAAAGCCCCTCTTACCCTTCTCAAGAGGGTAAAATATGGTATCTCTAAATATTACCTTCATTTTCATTTTTAAACTGTAGAGATGAAAAGTTTCATGAACAACAGGCATGAACTAGATAAAAGCTTTGCATTTGATCAACGGCTATTCATGTAACTATCAATCTACTACTATTACAGGTGGTTCTAAGCTACTCCAAAGAAAGAACACACGACTGAGATTTATAGGCAAGCTTGGTAGTCTCTGTACATGAACAACGGCTTTCCCCAGAAGCCTACTATCTATAATGCCTAATTACCTTATTTTATCTCTCTATTTCTCTACCCTCTTCCCCACACACATGGAGCTTGCCTCCTATCCATATCATTCAGTGACTCACAACAAGGTAAACATGGAGGCAGACACAGCTTTCCTCCAAAGGAAGAGTCAGATGGAAAAGCCAAAGAAATGGTTTCAAGGTGAGAAGAAATATTTAACACTAAAGTCATGTAGAAAAATGTCATTATATTTGACAATTAAGAGGCCTCTGGTAACCCCAATCAGTGTGGTTTTAGGAACATGGTAGACATGGAAATCATATTTTAGGGAGCTGAGTTGTAAATAAAAGGTGAAGAAATGAAAATACCAGCAGAGCAGAGAAATATTAGCTATGAAAGAAAAAGAAGAAAAAGAATGGGGGCAGTGACCTGAGAACTTTTTTTAATAGGTAGGACTTGAATAATTTGTAGCCCAAGAGAAGTTAGCAGATTTAGGAATTGGTCCTTTGTCTTAAAAATGTTAATTTTCTACTCCTACTGGCCTAATTCTTTGATTAAAATAAAGAAAAATAAGGTTGAATATCTTACTTTGCCTTAAAAATGTAAAAAAAAAATGAAATGACTTTAATGACAATAAAGTAATCAAATTGCAAGCCTACTCAACTTTATTTTGGTACAGTAGTTAGTAGCAAATTTTCATTTTTATGATTTTTATTTTATTTTATTGCTAACTCCCTCTCCCTTTCATTTGGTATCAGACCCTGTGCTGCTGGCACAAGACCCCATCTAGCTCATTCATGGATTGTGGTTGGTCCAAGGAGTGAGCATGTGACTCAAGAGTCTCTGAAATTTTTCACATTTGGTCAAGGAGAAAGGGCTCTGTTCCCTGTGGTTTATAAAGATATTAGCTAAGAGTTCTGAGGACTCACTGCATGGAGGAAGCTCCTCTGAGAACATAAAACCAACAGAAGGCATATACCATCAGCTGGTATTTCAGTCCCTGTTTCACTCAGTGCCTAAGGTTAGTTCTCCACCTGGGCCTTCAGACAGTTAGACTACAAAGCCAATAAAGTCCTTCTTTGTATTTACTTATGCTAGTTCATTGGGTTTCTTTCTCTGGCACCCAAAGGGTTCTAATCAGTACTCTTAGGAAAAGGGACTTCTTGTAACGGGAGAAACTGTTCCTGGGGAGGCTGGGAGTGCTGACATTGGTTTTACAATCCTGGCTCTGTCAATCATTAACTGGCAAATTACATCAACTCTCTGAGCCTCAGTTTGCTCTTCTGTAAGATGGAGATAATAATGCTTTCCTCCCACAGTGGCTGAGAGAGACACTATGGCTGATGGCCAGTACGTACTCAAAATCACGAAATTTTTATGTTTCTTTGCTATCCAATAGCCATTACCTTAAGATTTCATTTATACTCAAAATTTAAGATTTTGGAGGCAAATATACATACTTTCCTTCATATAGATGTTATTTCAGTCTTTAAAAATATCCATCTAATGTTCTTTAAAGACAGATAACTTCTCATATTTCTAATATGTGGAATATGTATTTTTCAGAAAAAAAAATAATTTCTCAGGAGAATGTTTTCTTCCATCCTTTCACTGTTTAATTCTTAATTGATCCAAACTTCAGAAAGAAAATAAGATGTTCCTGTTTTAAATATGCTATTTTACACATTTAACCCTCTAATATGTGTTCTCTAAGTAATTAATATTAATTACTCTCTCCAACTAATAAGCAATGTATATGAACATACCTTTCTAATATTTCAGAGAGATTGTCAGCAGAATCAGCTGAAGAGATTTGGTATATGTCTGACAACTCCAGGCGCTGTCTGTACCCTTTCCCCAAAATTGGTCCAGTCCAACTAAAATAAAGAGAAAGACAGAAACATTTACTTGATTTTGTCTCTAATACAGACTTGGAATCTGATATCAGTTCAAATCTTCTGGCATGTGGAGAAGGGTGGACACATACTATAAATATGAATAACATAAGTCAACATATACATAAATACCAGGGCTTCATATCTTATGGGACACATCTGTATAAAACACCCAGTACCTATGAAATAATGTGACTGTTGCTATGTAAGAAAAGGATCAAGAATGATGGTAGAATCCTTCCTAGAGGGAAAAAAAACCTGCTAAACATTTTGTATTAGAAGTATTCTTAAAACACACACAGCCCCCAAATAACCAGATATTTGGAGTTTATAGCTTGCTATAATTGCTAAAGTCCAGTCTCTACCACTTCAAATATAAAATGATCTGTGGATAAGAAAGTAGACTCTCAATCAACACCCTTTAAACCTTACACATGTGTTACCATAGCACATGAAACTCAGCAATGAGCTATTTAACGAATTGACTATATATAGCTGGAGGGTTAATGAGTAGTCTATATCAAATTGTTTAATTATCATGTCTGAATTATTACTTGAGGGTGGGGATCATAACTTTCTTATATTTTGTCTCCTTACCCTGAATCATAAATAACAATTTATGATTATTGAAACTAGTGAAGCTGGTATGGTAAATAATTAGGCAGGATACCCCGTTATTTTCAAGTACATTGTCTCTAATTATCATGGATAAGGCAGAATAATCTTCACAGTGATAAGAAAATATAAAAAGCAGAAGGAAAAGGAGGGAGAGGAAGAGAAATATAAAACAAAGAAATCATGTACAAAGAGAAATTCCTAAATGAAATTTGAGCATTGAGACTTTCTTGAATGAAATTTCATTTACTGAAGAAAGGAAATGAACTTCCAAGTAGTGATCCCCAAACATGCTCTTTCCCTTAGCATCTTTTTTTCCTTCAGAGATGTCTAAAACTTTGTGTCATTGAGAATTTGGTAATGTATCAAAATGCATGTTAGCCCCCAAAATCAAACAGGTCCAGTTTTGTGCTTACAATTCCTTGGTCTCCAGCTTCTTTAGTTGGCCCCTGCCTAAATTCCTGATGTCTCTACAACGTGTCCTTCCTTTAAAGGCAACTGAATTAGGGCCCAGTGTGAAGTCTAAGTAATTTCAACAACCATTTCTTGCTAAAATATCAATGAATGACAATGGCTTATTATGTTACTTTTTTCCACTAACTTGCAATATTTGCATTCTTAACAAGAGCTTTAGCAAAAAGGATGATAATTAGTTTTTTTGTCTTTATTGCCCTGTCTGATATATTGCTAATAATTCCTGGAGAACAATAAAAATAATTGGGAACCGTTTGAATATTGCAATTAAAGTAGTGCCATGACCATGCAATATCTGCAGTGACATGATCTAGACAGTGATGTCACACCCACCTGGTGCCATCCTGGTATCAAACATAAGCACTGGAAGTAACCTTGGAAATATAGGTGGCAGTTACGCTGTGAAACATTTGGGACAGCAATTTAGGATATAAACTCCATCATGTTGATTATGAGTCTTTGTAAACTTAAACCAAAAAGTGAAAAAGTGAAGCAAGTGTTTACTACTAAAAAATATATGTGCGTGTGTGTGTGTGTGTGTGTGTGTGTGTGTGTGTAGTACTTTCCAAGGAACTTTCACAAACATTAGCACATTTTGATTTTAACTTTAAAATCTTGTTACGTAGCCTGGCCAAGTGTTACTCAGTGGTTGAGTGTTGACCTACGAATCAGGGGGTCATAGTTTGATTCCTGGTCAGGTCACATGCCCAGATTGTGGGCTCCATCCCCAGTAGAGGGTGTGCAGGAGGAAGCCGATCAATGATTTTCTCTCTCATCACTGATGTTTCTATCTCTCTCTCCCTCTCCCTTCCTCTCTGAAATCAATTTAAAAAAATCTTTTTAGGTAGAACAAGTTGAAAATAATGCTCCTAGTTTAAGGATAAAATAATGGAGACTCAGAGATGCTAAACTTGTCTCTTAGTAAAGACAAAAAATATAGATTTTTAGCACATTCTCCTGATTTCATTTCTTTCTTTATCATGTGCAGCTTTCCTATTTAAGAAAATTAAGCATGGTGAGTTGTATGAGACAAACAGCTGGAAGATGAGCCTAGAAGCAGGAAGACCAAAAGGTGGCAGACTGTAGGCAATGGCAAAACTTTAACCATCCCTTCTCCAGGAAAAACAAAAGCAAAGGGAAAAATATGGCATGTCATTTGCCAGTTTCTCTGGTGTAAATAAATACTCCCACTACCAAATGTGAAGTCACTGAACATATAGTTGGGAAGAGATACACAATCGCATATCATAATATAGAATGTTTATCATTCAGATACAATGAGCATAAATAACCTCAATAGTATAGAAAATAGTAAGATGTAAAATAATTAGGTAATGATAACTTTCAAGTTTTTATTACCTTTGTTTCAATAAAATTGAAACACTCAACACTCAACCACTGAGTAACACTGGCCAGGCTACGTAACAAGATTTTAAAGTTAACATCAAAATGTGCTAATGTTTGTGAAAGTTCCTTGGAAAGTACTACACACACACACACACACACACACACACACACGCACATATATTTTTTAGTAGTAAACACTTGCTTCACTTTTTCACTTTTTGGTTTAAGTTTACAAAGACTCATAATCAACATGATGGAGTTTATATCCTAAATTGCTGTCCCAAATGTTTCACAGCCTAACTGCCACCTATATTTCCAAGGTTACTTCCAGTGCTTATGTTTGATACCAGGATGGCACCAGGTGGGTGTAACATCACTGTCTAGATCATGTCACTGCAGATATTGCATGGTCATGGCACTACTTTAATTGCAATATTCAAACGGTTCCCAATTATTTTTATTGTTCTCCAGGAATAATCCGCAATATATCAGACAGGGCAATAAAGACAAAAAACTAATTATCATCCTTTTTGCTAAGGCTCTTGTTAAGAATGCAAATATTGCAAGTTAGTGGAAAAAAGTAACATAATAAGCCATTGTCACTCATTGATATTTTAGCAAGAAATGGTTGATGAAATTACTTAGCCTTCACACTGGGCCCTAATTCAGTTGCCTTTAAAGGAAGGACACGTTGTAGAGACATCAGGAATTTAGGCAGGGGCCAACTAAAGAAGCTGGAGACCAAGGAATTGTAAGCAATTTTTATTACCTTTGTTTCAATAAAATTTATTTAACTATAAGTTTAGATTATTTAATTTTTAATACCAGTTGTGCTTAACAACCAGCTTACAAATTTCCTAAAAAGTTAACAATAAGCTCACTATAGCACATCACTGTTGAAAGTCTCTTGAAAGACTTAGAACAAGGTAATGGCATTGAGGACAGAAAGAAAAGGTCCTATAGAAGATTTAGTAAAAGAGAAAATATATCCCATCTCTTATAAACTTGCATTTCACTGTTTGAAATTATTAAAATTTTACACTAAAATTTCAAATAGAATTTCACTTTCTGCAAATACAATACAAAAAGACATTTTCAGGAAATTTAAAACTAAAACTTTTCAACTCTTTTTAAGAATACATGAACATACATCTTTGGTCCATATCTTTGGTCCTGATGACAATTCCCATAAGTGAGTTTCCATCTCATTTTAGAGTAGAACAATTTGTGGGCCACTTTTATAAAAAAAACTTCCTGTGTTATCTGTGCCCATTTTAATATTGTTATACAAGAGTTCCATATCCCAGCATCATCAAACCAAACATATTCAATAGTAATTGAAACTCAAATTAGCCATTTATAATCATTAATATAATTTAATATTTCATGACAGGTTCACCATAGTAAACCTATATTTGTATTCTGAAATAGAAACTTCAGTTAACTGAAATTACAAGAAATAAAATAACTTCGGCAATTTCCAGGGTTATCTTAGCAAAAGAATTTATTCTGTGCAGTTAAGCCAGTACAATTGAATAAAATTTCTGTCATATCAAGAAGTTTCCCATGCCTACCTCAAGCCAGTCTTAGAAATATAAAAACAAAAACAAAAATTCCCAGATATCTACAATTAGGTATTTTATAAAATATTAGCTACTGTAAAACTCCAGCTACCACTTCTCTTGAATAATCCTGAGTAGGTTACACATACTTGGATAGAATTTAGGAATGTCCAGTCAGGATTTCTACCTCAGTATTTCTTCCATTAGAAATGAATACATGCCTTGGTTGGATAGCTCAGTTGGTTAGAGTATCATCCTGATATGCTAAGGTTGTGGGTTCGATCCCCAGTCAGGACACATACGTGAAACAACCAATAAATGCATAAATAAACTGAACAGCAAATTGATGTTTCTATCTCTCTCTTTCTCTCCCTATCTCCTCTCTCTAAAAGTCAATTTAAAAATAAAAATAAATTTTAAAAAATTTGTTTTAAGTCCAGGTGTTTCATGAAGCAAAGCAAGTACACCTGGAATAACCAAAAGCAATAAATCTTATTCCTCCTCCTCCTCCTCAAATTTGTTCCACCATCTCTTCCTCTCACTTCAAATTGATCTTGTCATCCTCCTTCATTCATAAGCAGTCATTATATATTGATAATGAACTTACGTACTCATCTACTTAGAAACTGTCAGTTCCTAAAGTTCTACTATTTCTAACAGAAACTAGCTAATCATTAATTATGAGGTAGTAGTCAGAGATCCCTAAGATATACAGTGTTTTATAATTTATCAGTTTCAAACTGACTTTTAAAAAAAGTCTAGTGCCCCAGGTACACTATTCTGTTTACTTAACTGAAAGGCTTCAGGTTTTGTTGAAGAAAAATGTTATCATTTCATTTTTTAAAGACACACACACACACACAGAGAGATGCAACTATATTTAATTAGTTTCATTTCTGAGGACAAAACTTCCAATTTTTGTATAGAATGCACACACACACACACACACACACACACACAGAGATGCAACTATATTTAATTAGT